AGCATGACTGAGTCAGGGGAAGAGGCCTTGGCACTGTCCCCCCTCGTGTAACTAGCCTCTCGGCTTCACCTGTCCCTCGGGAGGACCTCACATCAGAGCTTCACCTTTGCTGTTCGCAACTGGAGTGCACGTAGTTCCACACGAGCCACCGTTATCAGGAGAGAGCTGTTTGCAGCCTGTGAGTAGCACACGGTGGCTTTTGGTGGTGTTGAAAATAGCCAGAGTGGAGAATCAGAAGTCACACTGTACCATCTTCCCAGATGTAACAGGATGATGAGAGGCAGGCTGAGAATACAGCATGTGTTTCCCATCCCAGGACATCTTGTCACTCTTTTCAAGGACTAACATGCCTACACCCCTGCGGGGCACCCCTGTATGCACATGCCCACACGCACACGAGCACAGGGCCCTGGGCGAAGGAGCTGGGTTGTCCCCTTGCTGCTGCGGAACCCTGGGGGATCCCTCCGGAGCGGTGGCAGCCTGAGTCACAGGGTGAGTCAGGCTGTGGGCACGGGCCGATGGGTACCAGCCCCGTCAGCTGCGGGGGTGATGTGCAGCCAGAGCTGATTAGCTGGGGCGCTGGGGAGGGTGTCTGGAGAGCAAAGAGGCAGCAGTGCCGGTTGGTGGAGAAAGGCAAACGCAGAGGCAGGGCAGAGGGTGTAAGGAAGAAGAAAGGGACAGCAGGGAATGAGGAGGAGGGGGAAACAGGAGGTCTAGGGGCAAGGCTTAGGGTGCAGTAGGAGGAATCTGGCAGGCAGCACAGGAGCAAAGAGCATTGTCAGTGAAGCCTGAATTAGTTTGGTTTTGAAGCTCTGTAACTGTGTAAGTGCTGCACTTAGCCCGAGTTCCTTGACTCAGTGCTCAGCTCCTGTGGTGAGAGTGCACCTGGGCCTGGCGCATGGTTTGTAAGAGGCAGCTGTGCACAGTCCAGCATTGCTGCTTTCATCACCAGTGCCAGCCACACGCGTGTACCCCCCAGCCCACTTCCAGCTTTCATCTCCATGCCGGACTTCAACAGGGAACAGTGGAAGGAGGCTGGGGGTGCACACTTGTGCCCAGAGGCCCAGGTGGCCCCTCACCACTGCCAGGGCTAGGCAGTGCCTTACAACTCCCCCTCAGAGGTTAACAGCAGCAGTGCCAGGCTGCAGAAGTGCTCTTGGTAAAGAGTTCTGCTCCCAGGCACAAGGGAGCATTTTCCAGCCTGTGGAGACCTTTTGCCTGGACTGAGCTTCTGTTTTCGGGACTCACAACCCAGGGCTGCTCCCAGTGATGTCAGCAGGGCCTTTCATCATTGGTTGGGAAGAGCTTTTGCCAAAAAAAATGGAAAGGAGGAGATATATTCCAGGCGGGAGGGTGGTGTTCTGCCTTGATGAAGAAGGTCTGGCTTTAAACATGTTATTAAAAGTGGAAGCAGGAAGTTTTCACTACGTGTAGGTAAACTCTTGTACCTAAGAATGGCTAAACACACAACAAAAGTAACACCTTTGTGCTAATCTTTGTACTTCCTCCAGCTGCTGCACAGTGCACAGGGCTCCTGTCAGCTGGTGGGGCTCCTTTCAAAACCTTCTTCCTTTTTAAACTCTGGAATTAACTTATAACGTCATATGATGCAGAACAGAGCGCCTTCTGCGGCATCACCGTGGGGTGAATGTGTCCCTCAGCCATACCCGTGTGTGTGTAAGAACCAGGAAAGTAGTTCTGTAATAAGATTATTTGGAAAGCAATTCAGTGAGGACTTGGGCTGCAGCTGAGGCTTGGCGGAGGAAGCTCCGTGTGATGTCACTTCACATCATGCCCTTTGGCTCTCGGGTTTTTCCCCCCCTTTTCTTTTTTCTTGTAGTGGCTGCAGCAAAGGCTCCATTATTTGGCAGCGTGGCATTGCTTTTGTCTATAAATGGAAGCAGTTGGCCCATCTCCCAGTATAACACAAGATAGTCCTGTGCATCAGTTATGCAATCTGTAGCTTGATGACTTCATCAGAAGTCGGGGGAGGGCCAGGGGGTGGTAGGAAAAAGCCTTCACCGTCAGCTCTGCTGGAGACAGCTGATGGCTGTGTGTCCCCCAAAGCAAAGAAAGCGGGAGCTCAGCGGCAGGGGTGGATGCGGTGCAAGAGCAGCCGAGGGATGATGATTAGTGGGTGCGTGTCCCCGGCCCCGGCTGCGGGAATCCCCAGCAGCTGCCACAGCCCTCGCCCTGCCCTGGCCGTGCTACAGGGACTGCGCTGAAGGGACCTTGCTGGGACGGGTTGGAGAGCGCAGCAGGAGATGGGACTGGGGGAGAAGTGGGAAGAGGAGTGGGGAGGGCACTTTCAAACCAGGGCAGATGTTAAAAAGAAACAGAACCTAAATATTGGAGAGCTGCCTTTCAGCAGAGGGCCCTTCAGGGAATATCTGTGCAAAGTAGAGATGCGGACAAATTGTATTTTCTTGTTATTTCCTCAGAAGGGTCCTTGAAAACCTGACCTTCATGCAGAAAGGCTGATCCTAATTTCCCAAGCTACACTCAAGCATTGATTTTAACCCTTTTGTTGTCGGGGTTGGGGTGGGTATCATAAGATTACTTTTCTATATATTCCCAATCACACAGTAATTGACATAACTCAAACCATCAATGAAGCAGATTAATTTGAACCTCACCCTGGCATGCTTTGCACGAAGGATTCTAAAGCGATATAGGTCCTTTCCATCGAGTCAGTATTTTTGAATGAGTACTCATCGCTAAAAGACAGTTAAAGAGGTTTTAATGAGCCGATGTTAAGGCCGGTCCCACACCGGGCAGGGCTTGCCCTGGCTTACTTAGGCCGGCAGAGGTGAAGAGTGCTGCTGTCACCCCAAGCCCGGTACGTGCTAGCGGCTTTCCTGGTAGTTGCCAAAAGGTGGTCCAGCCCCGCGGGACAACTCTTGCGTGGTTTTAGGCCTTAGAGGCCAGCCGGAGCTTAGCCCAGCGTTACCGCGGCGGGGCGGCGAGGGCCGGCTGCGGGGGCTCCTGGCAGTGCCGTGCGGGGCTGGGCAGGGTGCCGGCGTGGGGAGGGAAGAGAAAATCCTCGAGCCGTTTTACACCAGGGAGTACCCGGAATAACGACTTGGGGCTACAGTACTACACCTGCTGCTTTGTAATCAAACCCCAAAATTGTGTGCTTTGATTTTTGGGTTTTGTTTTTTAAATACGGCCCTAGCTGGCCATCTGTTTTCGAGCGAAGCCCCTGTAGTGCTGAAGGGAGGCACTGGGTTGTTGTGGAAAGCTTCGTTTTGCCCTGGCAGCGGGAGAGCCCCGTCTTACAGCGCTGCCCCGCGGGCGGGGGGGGTCGGCCGGAGGAACAGT